GTGGACTGTGTGTGTCGCCACCACTTCGGCGCCTTGGTATGGCCGCTCCATCCGATCGCAACCGCACTCTGCAAAGGAGCCAGGGGCAGGGGCAGGGGCAGAAGTCAACCCTGGCCGGTCTCAGCAGGGGTCGGTCAATGTCCATGTCACACACCGCACACTGCTCTAGGGTGGGTGTAGTGAAGCCTCAACGTCAGACTGCACAGCTGGCTAACGAAAGGAGCTGCTCAGAAGGAACAGCATACAGGAGGCAGAGCCTAGAGCTTCCAAGCTGCAGACAGCAAAGATGCTGACTACAAAACCACTCATCTGCATGTTAGGTCAGAACCAGGAGGGTTTCAGCTTGGAAACACTTTGATGGAGCTTAGTTGGGGTTATGGGCCATGATATATCCTGAAGCTTTTGAGATATTTCAATGATCCCAATGGGCTTCTAACAGGTCTGAAGCATTGAGGCTTGACTCCACCAAAAGTCATCAGCACCATGCAACCACAGGCGGGGCTCCTGGGAGCTGAGGCCTATTCACTGTGGCTACCCACCCCCAACCTCCCCCAGCACAGGGCTATGCCCATAAGGCTTTGCTGATCTTGGAAAGCTAGTCATTTCAGAGTCCTTGCACTGTGGATGCATCTTTTCTGCCTCTGGTGCCCTCTCCCACCCTGGGGAGATCCCATGGGTGTGAAAAATGGTGGGAGTGTATATGTGTGTCAGTATGTGTTCTCCTGAGCTCCGGGTTAGATCCACTCTGTTCATCTGCTTGATGGATGTGATGTTCTTTGCCCAGTTTCATTGAGTCTGAATGCACCTTGAAGATAATAGATTTTGTTGTACTCACAGAGGCCCAGGTGAGGGAGGGAGGGAGGGAGGGAGAGAGGGAGGGCTGGAGTGGAGGGGAAGGAAGGGGGCTATATGCTGGGAATGGTGTGAGTAGGGACCACATTCAATGAAGTCAGCCACACTTCAGATCCTGTGGCCCCAGCCAAGCTAAGCAGCACTGTGGGTGCCCAACAGGACCAAAGCAGTGGTAGGAGAGGAAGAGGCACTGAGTGAGAAAGAGCCAGAAGAGCGGAGATGAGCAGGGAAGAAGGCAAGGAGAAGACAAGCAGGAGAAGAGATGGTCCTCCCAGAGGTTCAGGACCAGGGTGCTTATCTCCCCCTCCCCAGCCTTCTGCTTCCCCACCCCCTCAGCTCCATCACCATCATGATGTCCTGTTCTTTGATGAACTGAATAGAAAATGCTGAAAAGAGGTATCAAGACTTCAGCTGAAATAAACTTGTAACCGTGTGCTCCCTCTGTGACTGCTTTTTTGGCTCTGTCTGCAAAGACTTTCACATGTGGATCAAATACACAGCACTGCTACTAGAAAAAAAAAAAAAAAACAACTTAACTGAGTGACTTTTTTGTTGTTGATGTTGTTGAGGCCAGGTCTCTCTAAGACAGTAAGTTGTTCAGGAAGAGCTGGAACTTGCCGACCTCCTGTCTCAGCCTCCTGGGCTGGGATTACAGGTGTGGCCCCTGCACCCAGCAGGTAAGACATTTTGAGGGCCCATTGAAAATAAAGTGTAGGTAACTGTCAGTTGTAGACAATGGTCTTATCTTTGTTTATATTGTATTTAACAGCCACATTTTGGGACTATACCTATTCTCAGATGGACGGGGCAGCCCCTTGCTGGTAAAGGTCATGCGTAAGTGCAGCCTTCCTGTTTATGTGGTGCATCTCGGGTGTGTGAGCTCTGCACTAAGGTTCTAGGTAACAATGGAAGTCTTCAATAGAAAGCTGGGAGGAGGCGCAGGAAGAGGAAGAGGGAGGAAAATACTCTCCAGTTTCTCTCCCTCTGTCTCATTCATTATTATTATTATTTTAAAGAAAGAGCACTGGGTTCCCAATACATGCCTTTCTCCCTTCTCCTTGGCCCCTTACCAAAACCTGGAGAGCTTTGTTCATTGCTCTCCTGAACCACTCCAACCGGCCTGCCCCACTGAGCCTAAGATCTCCTGCTACATACAACGCAAAGCAACAGCCTCGTTTTCTCTCCTGCCCTCTTATTTCTCCCAATTCAGATGTGAGCGGAAGCAGTAAAATGAACCAGTGTTTCCTACCGGCCCATCACACCCCCAAAGCCGTAGTCTGAAATGTGCTCCGTAGGGGACTGGAGGTCGTTCTTGGAGGAGGCCTTGTCATCCAGCAGTGGTCCACTGCTGGCCTCGCTATCAGCCTTTTGGCTCAAGCTGTCAGAGAAGGCATCATCCCTGGGGAGAAGAGAGACATGACCTGGAGGAGCCTCCCTACAGAGGACCCAGGCCACACAGGGCTCCTCGTCAAGTGTCTGAGGAGCAGAGTTGACACACACCTATACAATGTGCCCATGCCTGAGGGGGCCACCCTCTCCCATGCATACCCACTGCCATGCTGCTGCCAGCAGGGTTTCTCCACACCCAGCTCTCCTCTCCCCTGCTCTTGCTTGTTCTCTTCTCCCAGGCTGTGTCCTAAACTAAGCCAGACTGAGAGCTGCAGGGGTGCTGAAGAAGCTGGAGGTGGTGGCTGCACACTGAGCAAAGAAGTTGCCAGCTCTGGGTCTCTGTGTGGCTCCAGAAGTGAGTCAGGACTAAGCAGGGGGAAAAAGGTGATTTCATTCCTCAGATCCCCACCCACACTGGAAAACAACTGTGAGGGGCTCGAGTTCACAAGGGGCCTTGCCAGCCTCTTTCCACAGCCCTTTTTCTCCCAGTGACATACCCTACCCTGGGGACCTAGAGACACTGGGTGGCAGCTGAGGGCCTTCCACTGCAGCATTCCTCTTAGCATTCAACATTTGACCTTTTCTCTGGCTTGGACTTTCCTCTGTCTCATTAAAACATCGGTCCTCTTGCTATGAGGTTTATGGCTGCTTCCATGATAAATCAGTTTCCCTGCACCCAGGTTTTGCAGGGAATGTACATACAGGAAAAAACCTTTGTTGGCTCAAAGGGATGGAAAATGTAGACTTGCTAAGGGCTAGGTACTTGGGGTGTGGAACTTTTCTTAATTCTTGAAATTATAAATATACAAGAATGTGCTTATTTCTGCCCATCCCATTGAGAAGGCCCTGTCAGAGGACAGAACAGTGGGCAGCTAAGAGGGGGTGGATTACAGGAAGACAGGAGATGGGATATGGTAAGATCTGGTGGGCACCATGAACCATGGTGGTGAAGAGTCCAGAGGCTGCCTGATGGATCAGGATGGTCAGCCAGGAGCACTATACACGTCACCATGTGCTCTGAAGGCTCCATAATGTGAATATTTGCTAAGTAGATTGCTATTTAAAGGGAAGTGGGGTATGATCCATTCTTAGAGAACATCAAATCTATTATGCCAGCACATACAACCAAGCACTCCCCTTCAGGCGCCACTGCAGACATCACCAGTCTATCACTGTGCTCTTTCAAGATGGTTTCCAGTTCCTACTCACATGTCTTGTACAACTATGTACTGATGAGGGATGAGTCCATCCACGCCATTGTGACGGCCCTCCCACCAGTCCTCAGAGGCACGGTGGTACAGGAGCAGTGAGGCTCCCTTCTTGAAAGACAGCTCACGTGGGGACCGCCCCACATAATCAAACTTGGCAATGGCTTCTATCTGCTCCACTTCTGGAAGGAAAACAAGGGAAAGAGCATCCGTAGGTCAGCACAGGGATACCCCAGGAGGCCCATGGGATGCTCTGGCTGCTACAGGCAGGACAGGTGCCTTGACTGGTAAGCATATGTACTGGGGACACTGGGGTTCTAGGCTCTGATCTCCCTACTGATCTCAGGCCAGCTGTCTAACTTCTCAAGATGTCCATGGGCACAAACATACCAGATTCCTATTTTCCATTGTCTCTATTGCTCTCAACTTTTAAACATTCATTAAGACAATATTTGAGGGCTGGCCAAATAGCTCAGCAGATTAAAGTGCCTACAAGCAGGCACAGAGGCTGGGGGTTTGATCCCTGGGTCTGCCATGCTGGTCCTGTCTGCAGGGCACACTGAGATGGCAATTGAGACTGGGTGCGGTGGCACATGCATGTAATCCCAGCTCTTGGGAGGCTGTAAATAGGCAGATCACTATGAATCCGATCTAGTAGTGAGACCCTGAACACCCTGTAGATACTTTCCTAAAATAAAAAATAAAAAAAGACAGTATTTGAAGAAATTTCTTTTTCTTTTACATCTTATTCTAAATTCTAGTTCTTGTTTCCCATGAGCCCTTCCCTTCTTTTCCACACTTCTGGTTTTTTTTAAACTTTTGAGAGATCAAAAGATGTGTGTGTACAAAATGTGACACATAAGTTTTAAGGGTTCCAGAATCTTCAAGCTCATTTTGATGGACTGAATTGTGTCCCCATCAACATTAACACATGGAAGCCCTAATGCGCAGTGTGACTATATTTGGAAATGGGACCTTTAGTTCAATAGTTAGGATTTTCAACAGTTAGAATTGAAGTGCTAGTGAATACATTGTAGGGCACTAACCCACTAGAACTGGTGTCCTTACAAGAAGATGAGGAAAGATACCAAGATGTCTCTCCCTGCGTGGGCAGAGGAGAGAGGCTGTGGGCAGATACAGTGAGAAGGCAGCCATCTACAAGCAAGGAAAAGAGCCCTGTCCCCATGTAAACCCTGATACAGCACCTTGATCTTGGATTTCCAATTCTCAGCTGACAGTAGCTGTCATAACCATGATTATAATTACTAATGGACTCAGCTTGCTAGAGAGGATCAGAGAAGAAATCTAGGTGGCAAAAGGTTTTAATGATATGTGTAAGACCATATAGCTGGTGATATTTGGGAAAGAAATTTTTCATGAAGCAGGGGGACTGTGCTTACTATTTAGTTAATACATGTCATAGTCTGTCTCCTAAGAGGTGCCCATGCTTGCTTAAAAATTTATATTTTAAGGCAACCCTAAAGTTATTTAATTATTAATTAATTTTTATTTGCAGTGTTGGAGATTGAACCAAAGCTCCTGTACAGGTAGGCAAGTGTTCTACCATTAAACCACATTTTGGGCTCTTTTTTCTTTGAATTTTATTTTTCAGATTGGTCTCACTAAGTCGCCGAGGTTGAGCACAGATCTGTGATTCTCTTGCTTCAGCTTCCCAAGTAGTTGAAATTACAGGCATCTACCACCACTCTAGGTTTTATTTATAGTACAAAAGGATAGCAAAAGCAAGCCCTGCTTTCTCTAGCCTGAAGACATTTTCTAAGTGCTAACCTCCTTGAGACTCTATGTTTTCCATCCATTGTATGTGATCTCATTTCCATCCATCTACCTGTCCCACACAGGTTAGGATCAGAACACCTGACTTTCTCACTTTTGAGCTGTATGATCTTAGCAACCTAGTTTTCCTAAGCCTCAGATAGATGAAATTATAGAATTATGAAGTACAATAACTAAAATGAAAAAAAAATTTACAAGAGGGACACAAAAGACTTGAACAGGTGGAAGAAAGATTTATTGAACTTAATATCCTGATTGAGATTATGCATGCTGATGAATGAAAAAAAAGAATGAGGAAAAGTGAATACAGCTTCAGAGAAACTTGTGCACTAGTAGGTGTACTGTAGTGTATACGATGAATGCCAACAATGAAGGGGAGGCAATAAGAGTAGGAAAAAATTGAAGAAATAATGTCTACAAACTTCACAAGTTTACTGAAAAACATAGCCATGAAACTCAACACAGCCAGAAAACTCAATAAACTCTAAGCAGAATAAAATGTAAGAGAGTCACAAGCAGACAAACCACAGTGAAAATGGTGAAAACCAGATACAAGGATACAATCTTGATAACAGCAAGAGAAAAACAAGACTTTGCTAAGATCTACAGCTGATTTCTTGATGGAAACTATGGATTCCAGGAGGTAGTGGAATATCATGATCAAAGTGCTTGAAGAAAATAATTGCCAACCAAAAAATATGATAGCTGGTAAAATTATCTTTCAAAAATGTAATGAAAGGATTTTCTAAGGGTTTTTTTTTAAACGTATTTAGTACAGGGTCTCACTATACAGATTGGACTACTAGTGATCCTCTGTTTTCTGCCTCCCAAGCATTGGGATTTATAGGTGCATGCCACCATGCCCAGTCTAGATTTCCCAAGTTTTAAAAACTGATAAAAATCTGTCACTATTAAAACCATCCTGGGTCAGCCAAATAGCTCAGTGGAGTAAAGTGCCTGCAAGCAGGCACAGGGGTCAGGGTTTCAATCCCTGGGGCCTGCTGTGCTGTCCTCACCTTTGAGGCAAGCTGAGACAGCAATTGAGACTGGGTGTGGTGGCACCTGCCTGCAATCCCAGCTCTTGGGAGGCTGTAAACAGGCGGATTTCTATGAGTCCAATCTAGTAGTGCGACCCTGAACACTCTGTAGATCCTTCCCTAAAAAAACAAAAAACAACAACAACAACAACAACAACAAAAATCTTACAACAATACTAAGACTTTTTTTGGGCAAAACACAAGTGACTACCTATTATAATTTAAAGGCGTACACACACAAAAAAGAGTGCACTAGTACATGTGAAGAATAAAAATGAGTACATAATACACTCAGATTTTTAGGGTGCAGTTTAGAAAGAAATTATAACTATAAAATGTCTGTATTGAGAAAAATATTTCCAAGTAGTAACATGTACTTCTACATTAAGATACTGAAAAAAGTATAAGCTAAACCTACATCAAGCAAGAAGAACAGAACATAATTTAATGAAATAAAGAATAGAATAACAGGGAAAGCCAACAAAATCCAAAGGTGATTGTTTGAAAAGAAAGATTAATGAAAGGGCAAAACCTTTAAGTAAACCAAGAAACAAAGAGATGGCTCAAATCACAAAAGAAGAGTCTTTGGAGGGCATCAGTCCTGTTCGTGGGCCAGCTTCTGTCCAGCAGATGCCATGTTTTGCAGTATCAGGGCTTGGCTCTGAAACACCATCCCTTCCTGTCAACAGTGAGCTGCTTTTCCCAGTGGAAGTGGTGAGGCTGAAAGAAGGATCTAGAGCAAGAGGGAGCTAGGCAGTGGTAGACCAAGGGAAGTGAGGAGGGGATTAAGGGTAGGGAAGAGGAGGAAAGAAAAAAGAAGAGAGAGACAGACAGAACTGAGAGAAAAAACCCAGAGACACAGAGAGATAACAAGTGAGAGAAATTCAGAAATAAAAAGAGCAACAGAAGGAGAACAAGGGGAGAAAGGGAGCAGAATAGGAGAAGGAAAGGAAAAAGAGGAGAGAGAATAAGCAGCAGGCAGCTGCCCTCACATCTGCAGGGAGGACTTCCCAGAGCTTTTTTTCAGTTCAGGACAACTCGAGATTCTGGATTCTAATGAAATGGGACATGTGGGTTTGCTTTTTGTGACCCAATTCCCTCTCTGGCCCTAGTGATGAAGTCATGCCTGGGTGTGCAACGCAAGGCAGTGTGGGGAGACACTGTCCCAGATCCTTCTGTGGGGCCGTAATGAAAATCAAGCTCCTTTCCATTGAGGCTTTTGGTAAGAATAGCGAAAGCCTGGAACTGCCATAGAGCACTCCCTAAGAAGATTCTGTATTAGAACAAAACTAGCAGGGAGGGATGCAGGAAGGGGGACTCCACGTCCTGACAACATCCTCTGTGCTCCTGAATCAAGCTGTGTCTGAAGTCAGATCCTTCTGGGGCTGCCTGCATGAGCTGAGTCCCTCTTGTGCTTAAGTCCCTCTGAATTGTGGATTCTGACATTAGCAACTAAAACAGTCCTACTGAAAAGGGAAAACCCATCGAGCTTATCTTTTTTATTTTTTTAATTTTTCTGCATTTAGGACAGGGTTTACAGGGTCTCACTATGTAGATCAGACTCGTGGGGTTTCTCCTGTTTTCAGTCTCCCAAGTGCCGGGATTACAGGCGTGTGCCACCATGCCCAACTTTAATTGCCATCTCAGTGTGCCCCAGGGGCAGGGCTGGCGCAGCATTCCGGGGATCGAATCCTGGCAGCTGCACTCTGCCTAAGCTGGTGCTTTGGTCCAATGAGCTATCAGGCTGGCCCTGAGCTTACCTTTTTCCAGCCCAAAAACCTTAACCTGGGTACCAGTCCAGCTCTCTTGACAGACATGCTGGCCAACAAGAGAAGCACTAAGGCCAAGTAAAGGAGCTGCCAAGTCGTAATAATCCTTGAGGCTTTGGTTTTTCTTCCTTTTTCTTTTTCTGGTGATGCTGGGATCCCCCAACATTTCATTTTATTATTTTTACATTGAATTTTGAAGGAGTATCTTATTAGGTCACTTAGTAACTCAGACTGAGCTTGAATTTGCAATTCTCCTACCTTAGCCTCCCAGAGTGCTGGGATTACAGGTATCCAACTTCTAACCAATCATTTTTTTTGTAGCTGGCTTAGCCCACCCTGGCCTCTGGGCTGGCACAGCATGTGGTGCTGGGGATCAAACTGCAGTTCCTGCCTTTGCCTAAGCAAGTGCTTTAGTCTGCTGAGCTATCTTGCCGGCCCCTACGCAATTTCTTAAAGTAAAACTACAAGACAGGTGCAGTGGTGTACATCTGTAATTGAGGGTAGTTGGAAGGCTGAGGTGGGAGGGTCGTATATTTGGGTTCAGCCTAGGAAACTCAAAGAGACCTTGATTCAAAATAAAAACTAGAAAGGCTGGGGATATAGCTTGGTGGCAGGACATCCCTGAGTTCCACCTCCACTACTAGAAGACAAAACCGGAAGTGAAACATGGCATGAGGACAGGATGCATACCCTCAGTCCGTATCGGGCTATGTGATTGTTGCCATGGCACCCCACCTCCTCCCCAGCCCGAGCCTCTTCCTCTGTTAAAAAGAATACGTTCAAAATTACACTTTACGACTGCTGCATTAGTGTAAGAACGAATATAATCCAGGTGGAATATCATATTATTTATTCTTCATTTAAAAGAAATTAAGACATTCCAATGGACCCCTAAGAAATTTAGGGCCAGCTCACCAAGAATGACTGTGCTGCATAGCCTGGCTAGCGGCCACGTTCCTTGAGTGCTATCTGTGCTGTCCAGGAACCTGGGAGACAAACTGACTCTCTTTCCTTGTCTATAGGGGCGGCGGGATCGGCAGCTACCTCAGTGTCCCCTCGCCCTCCAGTCTTTTTCCACACACTGTCTGAGGCCTCATCCTAGCTAGACTTCATGCTGGGGTGGCCCCTGCACTGCGGAGGCACCTGTCACCTGGCACTGCCACTCTGTGCCATGAGGAGCTGCTTGCAATTTGTCAAGGTTTTGTGACAGGCTGGGAACTCCTCGAGGACCTGCCTTATTCATTGCCAAGTCTCAGGCCCAAACACAGATCCTCCCAGGGAGGGATAGTAGGTGCTTCCTACTTGACACTCTTGTCCCTTAAGATTTGTACCTGAGCCAGAAGGATACATGAAGGCAGATGCGGGTCAGGTATGGAGTGCAGTGAGGCCCCCACTTGAGGCATTAGGGGCCTGGGGCACCCAATGAGAATAGTTTTGGGGGTCCTCACCTCTTCTGAGGGATGGTTGTGTAGGTGTGGCAAGCTGGAAGTCCAGTCCAGGAAGCTACATGAGGGGCCCGCAGGTAAGGCCTCTGGCCTGGGCTCCCCATACTCACCTTCATCACTAGTGTGAGGCTCTGTGCCATTGTCATGGTCAACTTCATCAATGGTCCCTGGCTCACTGTGTGGGCTGTCACTGCAAGGAAACACAGGGACGGGACTCAGGATAGGGCTGGTACACTCACAGGACTTCCAGATTCCCAGTGGCAGCTGCCCAACCACCTCTGGGCCCTCATCCGGAGCTGGCCCAGGCTCACATCTGTCTAGCTTTCCATCTAACCACCCTTGGATCTTCTAATCAGACACCCCTCTAAGCCCCTCCCTCAGCTCCCTCCTGGCTCTGGAACTTGCTGGGCTCTCTTCTGGGTGAAGATGGTCAATGCTTTGGACGTGTCTCCCAAAGGTCATGGGTTGGAAACTTTATCCCCAGTACAACTAGGTTGGGAGGGGGCTCTGCCCTTATTGGTAGATTGATGTGGCTATCGCAGCAGTGGGTCAGCTGTACGAGAACAGGCTGTTACCAGAGCACGTTTGACCTGATGTTGCTCACTCTCTCACTCTTGGTGTTTTGCCCCTCAGCTGTTCCATGGGGTGGCGCAGCACAGATGCTGGCACCATATTCTCAGATTTCCAACCTCCAGAACAATGGCTCATAAAAATTTCTGTTCACTTGAATTACTTAGCCTCAGGTATTCTGCTATGGAAACAGATGGTGGACTTAGACAAGGCTAGCATGTCCGGTAGGAGCTGGACAGTGGAGACCAGATTCTACATTTATCACTAGAAGGTCCTCAGGCCAGAACAAAAAGGACCCTCGGGTTACTGTGAGTCATTTCACTTGGCCTGGATCCACTTGTCTCACAGTGTGGTGTTGCCTGCCTTAATCCCAGTTCTGTGGGAGACTGAGATGAAAGGGTCACACGTTCAAGGCGAGCCTGGGAAATTTAGTGAGACCCTGGCTCAAATAATAGAAGTGGCTGGGATGCAGCTCCGTGCAGAGGTCTTGGGCTTCATCCCCAGTTTGGGGGTTGGGGGCTGCTCTCTCTGGGCAGTGTATGCACGCTAGCCACCACGATGTGCCCAAGGTATGTCCTGGAAGTACGTCACCCCTGCCATCTGTGGCTAGACCGTGCACTTGCTAAGGCCAATTGCTCACACAGTTGGTGTTGGGTTCATTGAACCACTAAAGGTCATAATGTATACTGCTGTGCTAGGCATGAGGGTGCCACGACAGGAAGGGACAAGGCCTGTGGCTGCACTGCTTACTTTCCAGGGAGGGGGATAAGAAAACAGCTCACAAAAATAGGTCAGTAAATAATACAGTTGCCAGCTGAAACAGAGCTGTGTAGGATGTTGGCAGAGACAAGAAGAGCAGGGGAAGTCTACATAAAGCAATCATGGAAGGCTTCTCAGAGGAGGTAACACTGGCAGTGTCCTTTAAAGGCAGAGGGACTTCACTATGAAAAGCTCTTCACTGTCTCTTAAATCAGGTCTGGACCCAATAGTGTCCAACCAGGGAACCTTGTTCTTCCCATTCCTGTGCCATACACACCAGCTGCATTGACCCACTTGTCCTTTTACTGAACTCTCCAAGCATAGAACCTTCTCCTCCCACCCCTTACAGAGCTAGCTCCAGTTGCCCTGCTGTCAGCTCAGTCCCTAATTCCAAGCCCTTCCCAACCACCTGCCTCTGGCTCCATCACAACTCCCTGCACCAGGATCCCATCCCTGCTCCCCAGCATGGAACCAGGACCACAGTGGAGCTCAAGGACCATTTGTCCAGTGAATGCATGCTGCTCGCTGTGCTGAGGCCTTCAGCCAAATTTCCCACCTCAGCTTTGAAGACATTTCCAAAATTACCATGTAAGTAATAGTTTTCCATGCTCATGGGAAGCAAATGGGATTGAAAAAGCACTGCTGTTGTATATGGTTATTTGGTAAGATTTAAGGTGTGTAGGTCTCTTTAGAACAAACCTATTAAACCAAAGAAAAAGAACTGGCATTGACAGGGGGGAGGGGAGGGGAGAGAGAGAGAGAGAGAGAGAGAGAGAGAGAGAGAGAGAGAGAGGCTTCCGTTTTGTAGAACAATGCTTCTGTTACAAATCAGGGATATCTTTGTTCCCAGAGCCCCCCAGTGAGGACAGAGCTGTGGTCAGACCTCACACACCCGGCTTCCATGTGGGGAGGTGCATATGCAGGGCAATGGAACTAGAACACCTCCCTTTTTGGAAACAGCTGCCCACATCTTCCCCAGCATAGAGGTAACTCAAGAGTCCAGGTGTGCTTTGCAGTCACACCCTAATTCCTGCCAAATGTCTGGCTGGTGGCAGTGTAGATAAGACCTCAGTACACAGCTGTGTGCTGTCCTGGGTTGGAAATTAAAAATCGGTAGTTACTCTTTGGCCAGTCTTTTTCACTTGGTATGTTGAACTGCATGTCTTCAAGACAGGATAAGTTAGCAGTGACTGCTGCCTGGAGAGGTCACCGAGAGAAGCCAGCATGCCCCGTCCTGAAGACAGAGCTCTTGGGAGAGAGGTTACAGGGGTGGCAGTGTCACTTTGACTCAGGAGTTTTGGGAAGGTCACTGACCCCTCTACTTTCTGAGGCAAGCTTGCAGCAAACCTCGGCAGCAGCAGCAGCAGCAGCAACAGCAGCAGCAGCTCTGCTCCCCGTGTGATGGCCCCACCAGACCCAAGTGTTTCTCCAGCTTGCACTGGAACATTTGGGAAGGAGAAGCTCTTTTTCTAGTGAGGATACTTAAAACAGGTTTTAAAGCTGGAGCCGTTGGTTACCTTCTCGTGAGCACAGAGGGAGAGGCTGTGCATGAGCACAGGTGAGAGTGTCAAGGGATGGTGATGGCAGGACCGAGTTCTAGATCTGGCTACCCGAAGGATCCAGCTACACCTGATGATGTCCTCCTGCCCTGACTTTCTAGTTAAGTCAACCAACATCAGGTCTGACTTAGGGAAGTATGAACTGCATTTCTGTCCACTCACAGTCTTTTTTTTTTTTTTTTTTTTTGTAGCTGGTTCAGTCCACCCTGGGGGCGGGATTAGCACACCATGTGGTGCCGGGTATTGAACAGTGGTGTCTAGGCTTGCCTAAGCTTGCCTAAGCAGATGCATTAAACTGATGAGCTAGCTTGCTGGTCCCAATACAATCTTTATTGATGTATCCATCTCTCACATAAGGCTGCTGTGAAGCTCAGATGAGAAAATGTACATGGAAGTACCGGCTCTGAAGCAGCAAGAAAGCTGAAGGGCTTCTTGCTGTTCGTGTTAAACAACGGCGACAAGGTTCATTATAACATTCAAAAGAATGACATCTTACCAATACTCTTCCCCTCCAGCCATGCATTTTTCATATACGGGTCCCTCGAGTTCCCGGGGGCTGGGGAAGATGGCTTCGTGATGGATGATGATGGTTTTGATGACTTCATTGACGTGTGCCTGGCAGGACACAGGGTCCTGCCCATCGGGGATGTGCATGAGGGTGGGCCCGAAGCAGATGGCCAGGTTGTAGGGATCCATCATGTTCTCGTCGCTATACTGGGAGAGGCTAGGAGAGAGGAGGCACCTACAAGTCACCTGGGACAGGCAAATCCTCCCCTGGAGTTTCTTTCTGGGAGGAGGAAGCTCTATTCAAATACAGGAGAGAACACAAGAGTCCTAGGAACCCCCTCCCAAAGAAGGCCAGGACAGAGTCCAAGGGGTCCCTTGGCCAGGCACTCACTGGTTGAGGAAAGCAAAGAGGTATCTCATGACCACGATGACCACGCGGGGCAGGGTGATGAGAATTTGCTGGATCTGGTGCACCCTCTCAGCTGGGTTCTCCAGTTCTGCAACACAAAGGGGTTTTTAGGGTGTCTTTTCTCTCCAGAGAGCAGAGTTCCACCTCAGTAGGGGTTGGACCTGTCCCCAGCTCTGATCTCAGTTCACGAGATCCAAATGTGATCTTGGACTGAACAATCAGAGCATCAAGTCCCCAGTAAGAGGGCAGGCTCGGGGATTGGTCTACTTGGAGCTAGTCAGAGCTGGTCCTCAGACAGGAGCAAGAGAAACCTGCAGAGAGGTGCCTGGGACTCAGACAGAGGGAAGTCTGAGCAGCTGGGAACTCCCAGGAAGGAGGATCCTGCCTGAGAAAGAAGTTGGCCCAGAGGCAAAGGGAGGACATGTTCCTGCTGAGGTCTAAGAGTCCAAGTCCAGCCCAACCTAAACTGTTTAAGTCCACGAACCCACACAGTCTTTTATGGTCTATTGCTGGCTGAATTTCTGTCATGTGAACCCTGGGTTCCACACCACACAAGCAGCGATCATGTTTTACTAAATTAGTAGTGGCTCAAGAAAAGAATGGCAGATAGACAGCCAGCTGTTGAGCTACCTCCTGGCCAGAAGGCTTGGCAGAGGTGTAGAATCTCATTTCTGATGCCCACTTCTGACTTGGCCATGGAGAGACAGGCATTGGTGTGTTTCTGAGCTCCACTGGGGCTGGGGGCTTAGAAAGAGGAGACAAGTGCTCCTGAGACGGAGGGCTGGTGCTGCCGAAGCTCTGGAGGTGATCTGCAGGGCTGATGTGCAGAATGACACCAGTTTTTTTCACCCAGTAATTTTCCCTGGTCCAGACCTCTCTGCAGCCTCCACATCCATCCTGCTGGCCTCGCCTCCAGCTCTCACCCCTTCCCCATGTGTCTGAAGATGATCTGGGGTAGTGCTTCTCCAACAAAGAACTCCTGATGCATCGAGCACTTGAACACCCATAGGGCATCCTCTGTGGTGCTGCAATGACTCGAGGGCAGTACTGGCACCTAGCATCCAAGGCCCAGGGTTCTTCATGTCCTAAATTTGTGAGACACATCACAAATTGTGTCTCTCTGCCCTAAATTCCAAAAGTACTGGAGAGGGAAATCTCACATTAGGTGACCTGTCTACCTCATCACTTTCAGGCAAAGGATGCTGCCACTCATCTCCCTGTGCCTGTACTGGTCACCCTCACTCAGCTTCAGTCTATTATTACTCAAAATAAACTCCTCAGACTGCACCCCAGCCCCTCCATGTCCCCAGCTTTAAGCCCTCATACCTGAGGACCAGCTCCCTTTCTATTAGTGTTGCTTTTCTTAAATGCATTTACTTAGAAAGGAAACTTTATGCCATTTTGTTAATGGGAAATGCAGCCCCTCATCTATGGGGGATACATTCCAAGAGGTGCTGTACATGACTGAAAACACGGCTAGACAAACCCTGTGTGCATTGTGTTTTTCTACACATACCTACCTTTGGTAAAGTTTAATTCATAAATTAGGCACAGAAAGAGACTAATAACAATAATAAGATAGAAAAATTACAATAGTATGCTGTAATAAATGTTATTTAAAACTTGTGCACTGATTATTTCTGGCATTTTCCACTTAACATTTTCTGATTACAGTGGACTGTGGGTAACAGAAATTCCTGAAATCAAAAACCACAGATGGGAGCGTTGCACGCTGAGGGCAAAACAATGTTACTAAGTTACAAGGTGACGTTGTCTATCAAGGTTTGGAGACCTTGGCCTTCCATGTTTAGAAGGGAGGTTGATGTGTGAGGGTTTCTCCTTGACATAATCACGGGGTTGGGAGGAAACTGAGGAGTCTTTTGCAGGGCGTGATTCAGGTCAGGTAATGCCTGGGCAAGGCAGCATCCTTGTTTACTCAGGCCCGCCCACAGAAACAGGCTTACTACAGGGTTCTGGAGACATTGGGCTGAGGAAGTGACGCAGAGCTCAGACAGAATTGGGCCTTTGTGGCCTGGAAATTATAAGACGCAGCACAGAGCTTGAAGTTTAGCTCTGGAAAATGCTTTACTGCTTTGGAAAAATGAGCAGAAGGTCATGACAAAGGTAGATGGGCATAGGAAGGGCCTTTCACACAAAGGGAGATGGACTCTCATGGCTAATGATGGAAGAGGAATCCCCCAGTGAGTTTATGGTCACCACTTCCCTTGTCTAACCTGATCCCTAAATCATCATAGTTCCCCATCACCTAAGGTGGAAAGCTCTGGAACCCCTGCAAGTCCTGCTGGTTCCCCCTCTTGCTCCATCTTCTCTTCCAGCAGCTTGCACTATGTACTAGCTGGGACACCTTCCCGTTGATCCTCCTGTCTGAGTTTCCAACCCTTCCCAGGATTCCCGTATCTACCTGTCCTGTAAGATGTGCTCAGATCACACTTAGGTCTGATCTGTGAAACCAAGTCTCCCTCTGCACATTCTCTGAGCTCCCATGTGCTGGGCAGGGTATTTGCCAAGCTGGGTAGCCCTCTTTCTGTGAACCGTGTGGTCTTCACAACTGGGCACTAAGTTCTGAGGACAAGAGTCACACTTCTACTATCCCTCTCTGTGCCTAGAAAGGTGATAGTTCCTCAGGGCTACTTCAACTCAGATCTGTCTAAGAAATGATCATTCCACCTGGGAAATACTTACTAATAGTAGATATCAAATCTTGAAACCTTTCCTTAGGAAAGAGTGGGTTTTCCAGTCCTCGGAAATACAATTTTAAAACACCAGCGACTGAATTGATATCTCGTTCATTTTGATCATCCACAAGTGGGTCTTCACCTGAGAGAAACAGGAGACATTTAGGTCAGGAGGCACAGGTGTGTGGATGACAGAACAGACAGTCTAGGCCTAGCCCGAGCTGGAGGAAAGACAGCTGCAAAAAGCCTCCCCAGCATACAATGTCCCTACCCCAAGTCTAAAATTCTTCCTGCAACTTTCTGTTGAAAATATTCAAAGCTACAGAAAAGTACAAATAAATGCATGCACATCCATAGCCCTTCACTCAGGCTCATCTTGTCCCATTTGTTTTCTTCCTTTCCTATTTACATTTACTGGGCCTCAAAGGGTTGAAAGTAATGATAGACATCATCACATATCACTGAAAATTATTTCCACATGTACCAGGACATTCTCACTAACCCAATAAGAGGTTTGCACTAAGAAAAGGGACAGCCATTCTGAACTACCATCTCACAGGCAGGCCACACCAAACCTCCCCAGTTGTCCTACAATGTCTTTATAGAGTTCTGTTCAAAGACTAATATCTGATCAGCAGTCACAGACCCCATCTGGTAGGTAGGCCTCTTCAGCCCTTTACACACAAAATAGACTCTCATGGCTTTGTGTTCGCTTTTTAATATTGACCCTTGTTGAAGCACTCAGACCAGTTGTCCCATAGAATTACCTCATATTCCAAATCTGTTTACTTGTTTCCTCATGATCAAACTCAGGTTAAATGCTTTAGGCAAGACGCTAAAGGCAGCTTCACCTGTAATTCCAGCATCCTGGAGAGCTAAGGCAGGAGGGTCATAAATTAGAGCCCAGCCTGCTCAACTTTAAAACTTAGTGAAATCTTGCCTCAAAAAAGGGGGGTACTGGGTTAGCTCAGTGTAAATCTTTGGTGCAACCCCCACTACTAGAAAATAAGTTTTTGGCAAGAATGAGTATTGTGAGTGGGATTGTAAACACTTGACCTCATCCCATGGGAAGACATGCATGTCAACCTGCTCTCTGCTGGGATACTGGATGTGATCAGTGGGCAATGGCAGTGGCCTCCAGAGTGCAGAGGCATTTATTTCTCTCTTTTATAATAAATCAGTGATCCGAGAAATGGTGCTTTCATATCTCTGTGCTTTAAGACAGCTTGCATGTCTCTGTGGTCAACATATTTCACCCAATGGGTTTAGCATACAATGATTTTGCCCAAATTAATTGTTATGGGGGTAAATGATGGGTTTTTTCCCTGTCACTTCTTCTACTTTTTCATCTGGCATTCTTTTGAAAAGAGCTTTCCCAGTATCCTTCCATCCCTCGCCCCCTCACTTGTTAACATCTTTACCAACTCTCTTCTGTCATTTTAATTCCATGTGTAATAAGCTACTATCAACACTATGTCTTGGGAGACTTAAATTGTCCCAAATTTGTCCAGGTAGCGTGCTCTTTTACATTCTTTCAATGGGATCTCCAGTGAATGTCACTTTCTGAGCAAAAGAGTTTCCCTAGGTCACCACTTTTGCTATGACTTGGATCTGAAATGTTCTCCAAAGGCTCCCATTTCAGCACTTTACTGATCCGCCAATAGGCAGGGCCTGGCACTTGCTAGGCCGGTAAGCTACCCCTGAGCTCTGTCCCAGGCCCCAGGCTCATATTTTAAAGATTTGGTTCACAGGTATTGGGAAAGGATGGAACCATTAAGAGACAAGGCCTAGGGGGAGGAATTTAGGTCCCTGGGGTGGTGTCTTCACGGGGACACTGAATCCCAGCCTCTCCCTGTCTCTCTGCTTCCTAGCTACCATAAGGGAAGCTGCTACTTCTACTAACCCATCATAAATCCAGCAGCAACTGGAATATATATATATATATATATATATATATATATATATATATTTGTTTCCTATAATGATTTTTTTGTTTTTAAATAACAGTAGCAATTCATTTATTTAATTTACCCTAGAATATGCATAATGAGTTTCAAACTTTCATTGAAAATATTAGCACTAATGGACTGGGGAGATAGTTCAACAATCTAAGTGTCTGTCTGTTAAGCATAAGAACTTGGGTTTGATCCCTGTACTGTGTGCCATGCCAGCCCCAGAGCCCCAGGTGCTCCATGCCAGCCACCACTGGGCATGGTGGTGCACACACGTAATCTCAGTGCTGGGGAGGCTGACACAGGTGATCACTATGAGTCCGAGCTGCCTAATGAGACCCTGTACCAAATAAATAAAACAAAAAATTAAAAAAAACCCAACAAAATGTCACCATTAACAGCAAGTTATTATGTAACAATTCAGATGTGTTTCAGAAGCTTTTATTTTTTGTTTTCATTTAGGTTTTATTCCTTAGACTGTATCCTGCTGAAAAGATATGGACAGAAGATTGAAAGTAAGCTGGGAGTGTAAGGTGCCTGTCAGCACATCACTCCAGGATCACAAATTTGAGATAAATCTGAGCCAGTTAGTGACTCAGTGAGACCCTATTGTACAATAAAGAAAATAAAAAATGGGTTTGCAATGTAAAGGTCCCAATTCAGTGCCCAGTTCTACAAAGGACACCAACCACACCAGCAAACCCAGAAAGTAGATTAGCAAGTGCCTATAGGCTTGGGGCCAGGTTGCTGGAGATACAGGAAGTGACTGCACAGCTCCTTTCAGGGATGGTAAAAAAAATGTGCAATTGGATTACAATGGTAACGGCCCAACTTGTAAATTTACCAGAAACCATTGAGACGTACACCTTAAAAAGGGTGAACCTGTGGTAGGTCAATGAAGCTGTTAAAAATGTAGGCTCAGCCCATATTCAAAAGTTAGATGCAGTTACCTCATTTCTATTTGTACATGATTATAGGGATTGGTGTTTTAGAAAGCCTTATTTAAATTTAGAGTTTTGAAAACAAAGCATTTGCACAGTCCAAAAGTCCAAATCAGACAGAAAGCTGCTCTGTGAGGAAACATCCTTTCATTCTTCTTCCTCACATGCAGCCACTCTCATCAGTTTCTGATTTGTCCTCTGTGTTCCTTCTGCATCTGTGGATTCAACCAACAGCAGAAGGAAAACATGCTAAAGAAAAGTGGTGTCTGTACTTCTTATTACAGATTTTTTCCCCGTCATAGTCCTCTAGACAGAGTACGACAACTGTTCACACAGCATTGCCCTTGCATTGTTATTAGTAACTGGGACTTTTTTTTTTTTTGCTCCGAATGCCTTCAGGGCGGGTTTGGCTGGCTTGAGTTGTGGGGATCGAACCACAGCAACCTGAGCCTGACTGCTTTGTTGAAGCAGCCACTTAAAGAACTGAGCTAAGGAGCAGGCCCCCTGGGACTTTTATTTATTTATTTGTTTGTTTATTTATTTTGTATTTAGGAGAGGGTCTACAGGGTCTAACTATGTAGATAGGATTCATAATAATTCTCCTGTTTTCAGCCTCCCAAGTTCTGAGATTATAGGCGTGCACCATTATGCCCAGTCTCATTCACCCCCTGGGAGCAGGGCCAACACAGCACAACGGGGATCGAACTCCACCCTCTGGGCTCTGCCTAAGCAGGCACTTTAGTCCACTGAGCTATCAGGCTGGCCCATAATTGGGACTTTTAAACAGTACTTGTTCTTGTTTTCAAAGTGAGTTTATTGTAGACAACATAGTTGGGTTGCTTTTGAAAACAAATCTGACCATGGAGGTCTTCTAAGTCCTGTGTTTATATTTATTGACATTCAAAGTGATTACTCATATAGTGGATTAAGCTACAGTGTTTGCTACTCTTTTCTATCTGTTGCTGTTTTTCTTAGTTTCTGTTTTTTTCTTCTTACTGTGATTTGAGTTGAGCATTTCATATTTTAATATATCTCTTTCCTTAGGATATAGTTATGGTTCATCTCCTGTGGTTAATCTAGAGTTTGACAATGTGCATTTAGAACTAATCTATGCACACACCAGCACTATACTACTTCATGGACAGTGTAATTTATAGTAAAACCATTAGAACTCCTCTCTCCCGGCTCGTCTGTCACTGCTATCCTTCACTTCACTTACATATGAGAACACATACAGACACATAGGTGCAAAAAGTATCCATAATGGAAATATCAATTAATTCATATAATTGAAACATCATTGGTATTATTTTGAACAAACCATTATGTTAAGAATTGATCAATTATGAATTGGAAAATGAAAGATTTTGTTTTATCTCAAAAAATGAAGGCTATGGGAGAGCTGCATAGATTCTATGCAAGTATTACACTGTGTTTTATAAGGGACTTGAGCACCCAGAGATTTGGGATTGTGGTGGTGATGGGATCCTCAACTCAATCCTTCATAGATACCAAAGAACTGGCTCAAGGTTTCTGTTCTTTCCCATATTTCTTATATAAAATGTAATATACTTGTACATAAACTTGCCTCTTCATTTAGCAAGAAAATGAACTAATGTGAATAAATGAACCATGAACACCTTAGTTCACAGAGATCTTCCTCCTTTTAAGTGGCTGCAAAGTCTGTTTCCTGGTCAGCCTTTCGTTTCCTCGGTCAATCATTAGGGCTCAGTCCTTGAAAACACTGCTGCATGGAGTGTCTCTGTCTGTGTGTAAAGGCAGGAATCTGTGCTGGCTCCTAGGGGTGGGTTCGTTGAGTTGCTGGCAAAAGTACATGTGTGTGTGTGTGTGTGCGCGCGCGTGTGTGTGTGTGTGTGTGTGTGTGTGTTTAAAGAAACTATATGCACTTCTTTTTATTTTATTTTTTGAGACACTGTCTTGCTCTGGAGGTCAGGCTGGCCTTGAATTCACTATGTCCTCAAACTCATGGCAAATGCCCTGCCTAAGCCTTCTGACTGCTGGGATTACAAACGCTTGCCCCCATGCCCAATTCTGTGTATGGTTTATCAGACAGAGACAGCCTCAGCCTGAAGCCCTGGGCTGCACCATGTTATCCAGCCCCCGGGTAACCTTATCACAAGATGTTGGCTGGCACGCCCACCCACGGGATGCTGCCAACTGGAAATAAGACATGGAATCTCTGGGGAACAGCACTCTTCAATTTAGCAGAGGATGCCAAGCATGTTCACCAATGAGAGCTTTCCTGGGGAGAGAAGACAGCAGGGAGTGGTCATATGCCCCCCTGGAGCTGCACCATGGGCTTCTCCTCCTCATCCCAGACAGAACCAGACACTTGTGTAGGCTGGCAAACAGGAAGAGAAGAGCCGGAAATGCATACTTGGATCTTTTTATTATACTTAAGAGAAAATGAATATGCAACACTAGCAAGGACTCTTCTGGTACCACTGTGCTTTTGTGTGAATTAGAGCAAGCTCCCCTTCCTTCCTGGGTCAGAACTCACAGCTTACACACCAGAGCCACACTCAGCTCCCATGTGCCCTCTTGGCTGTGTACCCTTGTGGAGTGCCCAGCCTGAAGCCTAGTGTGTGGCACCTTGACACAGTGTTCCATAGGTCATCCTCTCAGATGTCCCCACCAAAAATAAGGCTGTTCACCCGTAAGATTTCCGTGTCAGAAGGAAGAGAACACATTGAAAAATAATTGTCTGTACACACGTAGCACTTATCAAGTGAAAAGCACATCCGTGCATGTGATCTCCTGGAATTCTCACAACAAAATGTGTCTGTGCTCACAGTTAAAAACAGACACACTGGTGGCTCCTGGGTGTCACAAAGCCTGAGGTATCCTCCTTCTACCTGGGACTGTCAGCTCTGGCTGTCTGCCTGTCTGCATGCCTGTCTGCCCATCAATCCATCCATCCATCCATCCATCAATCTATCCATCCATCCATCCATCCATCCATCCATCCATCCATCCATCCACCAATCCATCCAGCCATCCATCCATCCACCAATCCATCCACCCATCCACCCACTTTCTTTCTTGCCTTCTTTCCTTTACAGTAGAATCTCAACATTTTTTGTTTTCTTTTTCAAGAAAAAAAGTTTCTACAAAATCCCAATGTACCAAGCCAAGGTGTCCTACCTGAGCAGGAGCATGGAGGGTGTGCAAGCCCTACCCCTTCACCCTCCCATTGTAGCTGAAGAATGAGAAACCAGCACTATATCCAGCTGCTTCCTATTAATCCTACTTCATACTCATGGCCTCAGGATTCAAAAGCATTTGGATGCTTTTCTCCATTTTCTTTATAAGTATGACTAACACACATGTAGACACACACACACACACACACACACACACACACACACACAGAGGTCGATGAGCATGCACACATAAACACCTCTGTTTGGTTCTGCCTTCCAGAAGGTGTCAGTGCAGAAATGGAGCCACCAAGCCTTCCTGCCTCTTCACCCATGACTCAGCCTCTGTGGGCTATACATGCTGGCCCTGGGAGGGGGCCGAATCCCACAGTGCAAGATGCACTGCACAGCTTGTATGAATGAAGGCTTTTTCCAGGACAAGAGGAAAAGTGAAAGTTCTAGCTAAGTGTGAGAAAGCTGTGTGCACACTGAGCTAGCTGACACCCCGAGAGTGTGGCTCACTCTTCTCCCCATCCTCTGGACACTGCCACTGCTGTATCATCAGAGCAGGCCTCGGTGACAACCAGCCTTCTCCCGCATGCCAGCCCCTCCCAGAAGCCTCCTCCTGAGGCAGGAGACAGAGCAGAGGAGCACCTAGCATGAGTCAGATTTTGCATGGTGCAGTGGTTAAGGCAGAGTTCCAAATCGTTTGGCTTTGGAATCCCTCCTCAAATCTAGGTGAGTCTGGGTGGCTTACGGAGAGATGGCCTTGGAGTATTTGGCTCGCCCCTTGCCCCTTCCTCTCAAGCACTACTCTCCTATTCTGCTTCCTTGTCACCATGAACTAAGCAGCTTTGCTCTGTCAAGCCCTTCTGCCATGTTGTCTCTATCTAGAGCCAGTAGACCACAGCCCAAATCCTAAGAAACTGTGAGCAAATTACCTTCTTCAAATTGTGTCAGGTATTGTGTCTGGCAATGAGACAGCTGACTAACACACGTAGCATAGCCTCAGCCTCAAATTCAAAGCCTGTACAAGCAAAAGGGTGGGTGCTCCTTTCCCTCACTTACCCCTGGGACTTGAATCTTCGTGTACAAAGTGAGCAAAGAAAAACTCATGGGGGACACAGAAAGTCCAAGGTTGGATGGAGACACTTAATGTTATCTCTGCTCTTTCAACCTGTCTCAAATGCAACATTACTTCCAAACTTTAGAGACTCACATAATATTTCATATTTATTGACACTGCTTTCTCTTCTCCAGAAACCACTGGAGAGTCCCCTGGCAAATGTCACCCACAAGCAGTTGTCCTCCAGGGAGAGCATCCCTTATCTAAAATGCATGGGATAAGAAGTGCTACAGATTTGGAAATTTTTGCATTTTGAAATATTACAACACACATTGCAGGATCTCTGGGGAATGGGACCCAACACAGAATTCACTTCTGCTTCACATACACCTTATGTAAGTATTGCTTAAAATGATTTTATATGATTTTTTGTGTGGCTCTATTTTGACTATGATCTGTCACTTGTGATGTCAGATGCAGAATTTTTCACTTGTATGTCATGTAAGTGCTAAAATGATTTGGGATCTAGAGCATTTTGGATTTCAGGTTTTCAGATTAGGGATGCTCAACTGGCAGGAGTGGGCTTAAGGGTTAGTTGCTTTTAGGTTTAGATGGAGTTCTCATGTGCTCATAGGCAGGCCTTTGGGAAGGAGATTGGACTGTGAAGACTGCAGGGCTGAATGTGCTTCAGGAGTTGAGGACTGGTCACTGAGGCGAGCCTGGCAGTGTCCTCCCTCCCAGCCCTTTCCTTACCTCTGCTTCCTGGCAGCGGTGAGGTAAGCAGCTTTCTTTCTCCAAGGCCCTTCCACCATGTCACTTGTGCACTAGAGCAGGCAACTATGGACTGAAATCTCTAAAAACTGTGGGGCAAAATAAACCTCTCTTCTTGTAAGCTGTAGGTGTTGGGTATTTTGTCCCAATGATGAGAAAAAGCGGTTAAGGTGGAGGGGAAAGCAAAGGTTTGCTAGTGTCTGCAGTGTGAACACTCCAGCCATGGCTGATTTCAAGCTACCAGCAAAAAAGCCCAGAATGCCAAGTCAGGAAGAGATGTGTACAACGGTACAGCCAGGTGTTGCAAATCCATGTGAGCCAAGGGCTCCCACACAGCACTGGTCCCCAGAACATGTCTAACATCCACCGTTCCTTCCCGGTCACAAGCTTGAGATGGTCACTGTGCACTTACCTCTCTCAAATGAATTTTTGATGTCATTGACTTCCACCTGAGATCCTGGCACCCTGAAGATCCCCTGCTGTTGAAGTCCTGAAAGAGAGAGAGAGAGAGAGAGAGAGAGAGAGAGAGAGAGAGAGAGAGAATGATATAAGACTTTAACTCATCAGACCACTGGGAGTATCAGTGGCTTATCCTATCCTGGCTGGCCTCTCCCTCCATCTTTTGTAACTCAGTGGTTTCTAGTGAAGGGCTCTTGGCAGAAGCCCAGAAATGGCCTACACAGCCCACTCCAGCTGAGCAAATGCCTGACACGTCTTGCTTTACACATTAGGTCTGGGACCTCCCTACTTGAGCTCAGAGCCAAAAGCTGCAAAATATTTACAACAGGTGATCAAAAAATATGATAAACACTTAAAATTAGAAAATTTATTAAAAGATTTCTACGAATAATGGGATAAGTATATTCAAAGTGAGAGGGAGTATTTTTGTATTTCAAGGGAGATTAATGGCAGTATTCCTTTTACCGTAATAATTTTTTTAATGTATTTGGTACAGAGTGTCACTACATAGCTTAGACTCATAGTGATTCTCTTGTTTTCAGCTTCTCCACTGTTGGGATTACAGGTGTGTACCACCAGGCAGGGTTTCAGTGGCTGGCTCAGGATGCCCAGGGGAGGGCTGACATGGCATGTGGTACCAGGGATTGAACCCTGGTCCCTGCGCTTGCTAAGCAGGTGCTTAGTCTACTGAGCTATCTCCCTGGCCGTTACTATAATACAATTTTTATTGGGCTGGCAGGCTAGCTCAGCAGACTAAATCGCCTGCTTAGGCAAGAGCAGAGACTGCAGATTGGTCCCCAGCACCACTTGTCATACCAGTCCTGGCCCCTGGGGTGAGCTAGCCAGAGTCTGGGTGTAGTGGTACATGCCTGTGATCCCAGCACTGGGGAGGCCGAAAGCAGAGGATCACTGCGAGTCTGAGCTACATAGTAAGATCCTGTAACAACCAAATCAATCAATCAATCAATCAATCAATCTTTTATTTAGACATTTGTCCTCTTCTTAGAGCAACCCTCACTAATCAAATGTTTATGGCACTGTCAAATAAAAATAGGACAGTGCCAGATGCACCAAATTTGCCAGATCTGGCACTGTGCAACTTCTGATTCTTTTTCAAGGTCAAAATGACCACCAAAGGTAAAGATTTTGAGTTGGTTCAAGACACTAAGGTGGCCACAGCAGGGCAACTAAAGACAGGAAAGGGTACTTCCTAAGCTGCTTCAGAGAGTGACAAGAAAGATGAGATAAATGTGTCCAAGGCAAGGGGCATGTTAAGAGGAATTAATGGCATTGTCTTTTATTGTAGTACATTTTAAAAAATTGTTTTAAAAAGTTACAAGTCCACAGAGATAGCTTGGTGGTCTAATCGCCTGCCCAGCAAGTGCAAAGACCCAGGTCTGATCCCTGGCACCACATGCTGCGCTGGCCCCATGCCCAGCTGGCCACCAAAACCGGGCGTGGTGGTGCTCGCCTGCAATCCCAGCACTGGGGAGGCTGAGACAGGAGGATCACTATGCGTTTGAGCTGTGCAGTGAGACCCTGTTCCAAGTAAATAAATAAATAATAAATAAATAATTTAAACATTTACAGTATTTTGTGATCACACCTTGTATAGCAACGCTATTCCGTCCCTATTCAGGCTCCTTCTTCTTTTGAAAAAAAGCCAGATGCTGGAATGCATTCAGGCCTGGGAATTCAGGGCTTTGGGGAGGATTGAATTACAAAAGGAAAACCATTTCATTTTTCTTTCTTTCTTTTTTCTTTTTTTGTGGTACCAGGGATCGAACTCAGGATCTTGCGCTTGCCATGGAAGCACTTATTCCACTGAGCTATCTCCCTGGCCCCCCATCTCATTTTTTAAAACATATCTCCTCACAGTCATAACAGAGAGCCCCTGATGCTTGTGCTCAACACAAGAGGCTGACAGGGTCCTGAGCAGCTGGAGGACACAGTGGCCTGCCTCCGCAAAGGCACCTTATGGGGAGCTTGCAGGCCTTTCCTCAGTTTTTGTTAAGTTAGGAAGTATTTACTCCAAAAAGTCAGCATTCAGCCAAAACCATAGTTTGTTTAATAAACACTGTTGGTTTCTTTGGTTAACCAACACTGAATGTCCTCCTGCTCAGCCACGCTGCCCTGCCTTCTCTCTGTCTTCTTCACTGGGACTGCACAGCTCTCTGCCTCCACTCAAAGATCACTTCCTAGAGAGAGAGCTCATCCCACTCTGGCCAAAGCAGCTCTTGCCTCCCACAGCCATTATCTGTCTCCTTTTGGCGAGCGTCATTGTACTGTCCACATCTGTAATTACATCACAGTCAGCCCTCTGCGTCCACGCCTCCTCATCTGTGCCTCGCTGAGCATACTCAGGAGAGGAAGCTGCGTGCGAATGGACATGTCCAGATTGTCTTTCTTACCATGCGCTAAGCAGCACAGCATAACAACCCTTCTCATGCCATTCCCGTGGTGTCAGGTATCCTACATCACCTAGCTACAACTTAGGATCCATAGGCAGTCATAAGGGACTTTGACCTTTCGCATGCTGAAGATGACTTGGTCATTTCTCTGTCTGCCTAGTTCTTTGTCCTTTAGTTGAGAACTTCAAACACTCAGGACAGGCATTGTACATGTGCTATTCACACCCAAATTCCGATTGTCCAAACAGTGCCTGTTATACCCTCAATAAATATTACATTTTTGGAGGAATGAGTAAGAAGATAAACATGAATTATCTTCTCATGATACCATGGTTGACAAACCCAAGACACTATTTCCTTCATGGAGCTTCAAGCCTAGTAGTATCCAGTGACTGCTTCTGGGGACAGATGAGGGTGAGGAAGGAACAGAAATAGTCCTCCTTCCCATGCCCTCCCTGGGTCTGGGTCCTGGGTCTCTCATTTCTGCTTTCCACCCCCTCTGCCCGACACACAGGCTGTAAAGCAGCACCCAGAGCAGCAGCTGTTCCCCGGAGCACCCTCCCCACCCCCGAAGCACAGCAGTGACAGGAAGCCTTCCACCGTGAATGAGAGTCTCATTTCCTACAGAACCGCCCTGCACCTGCTCTGCAGAGCTGAGGACGTGGACTCCAGGGTGAGCTTACCATATAAATTGATGTATCGGATGCAGCTCTCAACTACAAGTGGTATAGCTTGTCCTGAATCCTTAAGAGGAAAACAAAAACATGACCTTTATTGGGTTTGGCAACAGGAAAAAGACATTACAAATACAGATTATCACATCAAGCCAGAATATTAGTACCATGAGATTAGTAGGAAAACAAGCAAGGAGTTGCTAATCTTAAAGGCTCTACAAAAAGGCACAGTAGAAGGGTCTTCAGTTAAATGCAGAAGAAGGCATAGCTGTGATTATTTTAAAGAAATGCTCTGTCTTCCTGCCAAACTGGCTAGGACCCTGGGCTCGGGAGGCTGACAGGCACATCTGGGGCTGGGGAGGGGACTCCGTGCTGTGGAGAGCAGAGTCTGGTTTGCAGACTGTTCTGCCTCCCCGTCCACACTGCCCCAACTCAATACTTTTTTCAGTGCCTGGAGATACAAAGGCAAGCTTGGGGCTGCATCCCATTCCCATGGTGGCTTGTATCAAGACTAAGAAGAATGCACCAGGAGGTGTCAGGCTCGCCCTTATGGTACTTTGACTTGAAAAGGGGGAGACTTCTGCCTGTGCCATACAGCCTAAGTATCTAGACAGTATATACTTCGCTAACCAGGAAACACCTGTGGTTGAGGGCAATTTCTTTTGGATGCCAGGATGGGTTGGCCTCTCTATTATTTCAACCACTTAAGTAGCATAAAATCAAATCTGGGTTAATCTTTTTTCATACTATGGATTGAATCCAGGGCCTAGAGCATGCTAGGCAAATGCTCTACCACTGAGCTACATCCCTAGCACCCCCCAACCCACCTTTTCAGAGCTAGGGATTGAACTCTGGGCCTTCACATTGAACTGCAACCCCAGAACATTTTTTTTTAATTTTGAGACATGGTCTTATCAAATAGCTAAATTGCACAGGTAGAATTTGAATTTGTAATCCCTCTGCTTCAAACTTTCAGAGTACTGGGATTATAGGCATGTGCCACCATACCTATATATATATATATAAATTTTGAGACAGAATTTCACTAAATTGCCTAGCCTGGCCTTGAACCCACAATCCTAATGCCTCAGTCTCCCAGCAGCTGAGATTATAGGTATGCACCATTATGTCTGGCTAAACTTTCTTTGAAGGACTGGATTAAATTACTAGCCTCTTCCTAAGGTGAGGGAACAGTGAGGAAAATCTTCAAGGATTTGGGGGTGCACTTGGCTCATCCACATTCCACCTGGAAATTCTGCCCTTGCTTAACTGTGGCTGGGGAGAGGAGGGGAGACGGGCCCATGGGCTGTGGGAAAGCTCCCTGTTCTGAAAGTCAGACCTAAAGACAGGCTCCACCCAGCTGCATGGGACTCATGGGCCTTTCTAGTAAATACCTGGTTCCTGGTTCGAGCATTTCTTCTTCCTCTGATAACAAAAAATAAACAGGCGGCAGAGCAGGAGAAAAAAAAAAGAGAGTATGCAGGAATGAGGTCAGTTAGAGTAAGCAGATCCTTCAGAGTCCATGAACGCTGAAATGCAATGGCAGCCAGCAAAGGTCTGGGGAGCCTGGTGGGGAGCCTGGTGAGGCACCTGGCCATGGGGAGGGCCACCCTGAGCTCGGGCCTCTCAGACTTTGGAGCTGCCCCAGCCAGCCTCCTGGTAGGCTGCCTAGCTGCACCCCAGCCCTGCCAAGGGGCCTCCAGCAGCTCTTCTCAAGGGCAGTGGCTCTGTGTACAGCACTGGTCCCATCTCCACCTCTAGCTGCTCCAAAACAAGAGGTTGCAGGTCCCCTAGCCAGTGGGGCCCCTAAGTAAGCCTGGCTACCCACAGAAAGGAGGGAGACAACCTGAGGCACTCTAACGCTGGGCCTGCTATTCTGCTCAGGAAGCCCCATCCATGTAAAGTTTACTCTCCATAGGCACGGTTGTCAGTGCCCTGGTAAGGGGCCAGGATTCCACCCAACTCCAAACCCCACATAGTTCCCTGTATTGTCCTGTCCAAAGCCAAGCAGCTCTTCCTGGGGCTCCACTCGGCCTCATTTTCCTGCCTGCCCTAGCCCTTACCAGGCCCAAGAGCCCAGAGTACCTTCATGGCCTCAGGATGGACTGAGGCCTCTGCCTTCATGGAAAACTATCCACATTCAAGGGCTTGTCTCCTTGGTCCCGGTGGGTGGTGGGCTAGGTTCTGGGTGGGGAGTTATGTTTCATTTGAAGAGGTCACACTGAGAAGCAGGTGTCTTTCTTTTGGCCACAGCCACCTGTCCCATTCCCCATGTCCTGCTCCCTGCAATGCCCTGCTCATTGACTGGTGGGCAAAGCCCACTGGCACATAGATCTGAGGAGCCCACTCAACATGTGGGCTCAAGGAGCAAGAATTCTGGGGCTCCTGATCAGGGCAAGAGCAGACTCACATGTTGCTCACTGTGCATCCCCCAGGGCTCTAGACACATGGCCTATGTGTCCAGTTTGTCTCAGCACCAATTCAGGGGTAGGAAACCCCAATCCTCATTTTACAGAGCAAGAGGGGGACTCTCTTCTGCCCCACAGGTGGCCTCCTGGGCTGTGAAATAGGCCCTTACAATAAAAACAGGGACTTCTTTTATCTGAGAAGAGAAAAATATCAAGGATTTTGTAAGTGGCTGATGCAGGATGACTCTAGAGCCTGAAGAATGTGTAAGTCTAACTCTTATATCATGCATCTACTATTATGAATTTCAGGATGCTTCTTGGTCCTGCTGAGCCATCACAATTATGGAGTCTTGGTATCATCATTTCACTGAAACTTTTCATTGGTGTTGGTTTTTGTGAATTGGAGTACAAAATTAGATTCTGATCTCCACAATATAGAGTAAATATATTATGTTGCTTTCCATTCCCCAAGAGCTGAGAATCCTTTGAAGGAAATCTGCTGCCTGCAGCCTGGTGTGCCTGGGTACTTAGCGCGGGTTGTCACACTCCTCTGATTGTAGGTGACCCAGTAGAGCATGGCTATGCAGAATGCAACAGCATGTAACAAGTGGGCCATCCTTGTTCCAGTCATGTCACTATCATCCCTCTGGTCTGTCCACTTCCAAGGCTGTGCACCAACTCCAGCCTGCTGCCACTGCTTGGGCGCCCTGGGCTGCCCCTCTTCTGGGGCTCTCTTCACAGCCAGTTGGCCAGAGCTCTTGCAATGGGCTCCTCTTGACCATTTATGCCTTCACTCAGTCCATAAGGACAAGCTTTGGATAGAGCATTTTATTCCAAAGACTAAGGTGCCTGCCCATTTGCATACACAATTGGCATCCATTGGCACTGAAGGCCAATGGCAAAGGCCATGCGAGAGGCTCTGATGAAGACTGGCCGAGGAGCAGTTGCAGTCATGGTGCTAGATCCAGAATGAGGAGGTTCCGGGCACTCGAGCTCCTGTGCTTGCAGATGCTGTGACATGGTGATGAGGAAGAAAGGGTGGTCACTATACGGTCACATTGTGTGCAGGACCTCGCTATTGAGAGAATGCTGAATTCCACTAAACACTTGATTTTCAAATATTTCAGGTTATAGTTGATCCTTTTCAAGTATCCTGACTGATCAGTCACTTTCAAAGCGGGGATGGCGTCTCTGTCTCTGAGTCTTTGCCCTTCTGTCCTTCCTGTCCATGTTTCCATGTGCCTGTTCTTCCAGGGATCACCGAGCCTCCTTCTAAGCTCCTTCTGCAGTGCCCCGGCACTGCCAGAGCCTGGAGAACTCGCTCCTGTGGAGGCAACCTGCCTGGTGCTCAGCCAGTCTCCTGCCTGCTTCTCAGATGAAGACCTCCCAGGCTCAGCTCTAGGCTTCTTGAGGGCCAGCGTCGGCAGCTAGCCTCTCTTCTGCACGTGTGGCTCCTCAGACCACCAGCAAGTGAGAGGAAAGCCTTGGAGGAGGGAGGAGAGAGAGAAGGATGCTGCGCCGTAACGTGTGCCCTACTGGATGGCAAGCTGCTCCTTCTGGTTCCTCATGTCCCCCGATCCTGCCATGGGGGTCCTTCAGGGAACCTCCTGTGGTGCCCCACAGCTATTATTCTAAAGAAGCTTTGCTGTTCCTGGATCCTGGGCTTTCTCAACTTGAGCTTTGCTCTTCAGCTTTCTGTTTCTGCTGTTCTCTGTTTCCCCCACTCAGCCCACAGGTGCAGACAGTTCTGAGATCCAGGATGGTCCTACCTGCCTCCCATGCCCAAAGCTGACCTGTACCCAGTTCCTCCCTGTCCTTCAAGTCCTATATTGTATTGCATCTGGGGATAGAAGATAGAGAGCTGGTGCAGTGGCGGCTTCTGTGACCCTAAAGCCAGCATCAGTGCTCAAGACTTGTCTTCTAAGTGGGGCCAGTCTTCTTTGCCATGATGTCTTCATTGGCTGGTAGTGGGCTCTCAGCTGGCAAGGACTCTCCCAAGGCCTCTGAGCAATGTCAAAAGTGCACCTCCTCTTCCCGCAATTGCCTCCTTGTGCTCTCACAGCTCCACCACCACCTTACTTCATCCTGGGCTGGTCTATCTAGAAAAGCTTGGCCTTATATCCTTCACATCAAAGAAAATGAAAAGAGAAACTCACCTAGCTGATACACTTAAATCTACAGTTTAAAGGGTAGACGGTAACCTGGACCTCCAAAGGGACTTCTCAATGCTTTTCCCATCTCCTAAACCACCTAACAAGAAGAAAACCAAGCAGGACATGTCTCATATACAGATGTGTTACTTTCACCGGCATTTGTGTAACTAAATGAAGCACTAACTGCTTCCCATAGGAACCACATGTTTCCCACAGGGATTTCCTTAGATGGCTTTTGGCTTATGTCCTCTCAAGAGATGTGGGTGTGAAGTGAGCCTGTAGGGAGCTTCTGACTGTCCCCCAGACACTAGGACTGCAAGTCTGGAAGCAGCAAAGTGTGGCTAGCCGGGGTTACTGTGGTGGCGCCTCCCCTCCACTGGGACTTCATGCTCAGACATCCCCATCTCTTGGGTCTGAGCAACACGAATTTCACTTAGGGCCAAATGATCAAAGCTACTTTGATTGGAAACCCTTGCTGAAGCTAAGCACAAACTACAGTGAGGGATGAACTCCTGGCCTGGCGGAGGGGATCAAGTGTTCGTTCCGGCTGGGGCAATGCTGTGGGCTAGGGGGTGGGGGGCTGCCATTACATTGGGTGCATTCGCGGACTCTGCAGCTCCCCAGCAAGTACCTTAATGAAGGTTTCCATACTGCCGTTAAAGAGTTTATGGCTATACACTGAAAGAGGCCTAGGTCTCCTCATTTTCTGTGGTTTAGGGGGAAGGCAGGGGGGCCTAGGGGAAAATGGAACAAATAAATCAAGAAAGCAACCAACATAAACATACAACTGGGAAAGATGCTCTTGAAACCCACACCTGGAGGAGAATAGAAAATACAAATGGAAGTCCCTGGCTCCCAGCACATTGGTTCCCAATGTTCCATCTGAAGGCCTTTGGATGTTTTAGAAGATTGGAATTTACCCACAATGCCAAGCAGAAGCAACTCTCATATAACAAAAATGCATTCTAAGTTATAAGGAGGGGAAAACAGTCTAAGAAATCACGAGACTCCAATCCGAGGCTGTCATCCTACAAAGCTGACCAGATGGAGTGGGAGCAAGGGTGAGGGATTTATTTCCCTAAGAAAGCAAGAGACTTTCAAAAGTGACCAGGAGGGTTAATTTTCATTATGTTTGGCTTAAATTCATCACCAACTCTCAACCCCCAACGTAGCTGGTCACTAACCTCCCTCATGCCTCTTTTATTTCAGACGCACTTGACTAGTCTTTACTTCATTGGTTTGGGAGGCAGGCAATTGCTAGTCTCACTTCAGAGATGAAGAAGCTGATGCTGTGGGGGCAGTCTGCAGCTTCTTTGGGGCCCCCAGGTAACTCAGGATGATGACAGTATTCCATTCTTTAGTCCAGTGCACTTTTCATTAAATCACTTTAAAATCTATTACCATAGTCAACATCATGCCAGCGTAAGGCTGTATTTTACAGAGGTAGAAACCGAGGCATAGAAAGAAGGATTGGCAGAGCCAGGACTTAAACCAGGCTTTTTGAACTCCGCTCCCAGGATTTTTCCTACCAGGTCACAGTCATGGAGCCTCAGGGCACCTTGTGACTTCCGGCTAAGAACTTATCACCCCTGTTAATCCTTGGCCTGGGCTCCAGCTGAAAGTGTCTTGCTTTACTTCAGGATCTCCACTCGCTGTGCTCGGTTATTGGCCACAGGGAGGGGAAAAGACAACACAGTTTTCTAGGAACAACAAAACAGCCACAAACACTAGCCCTGCTTCCAGAACTGCTCACCATGCATGTGCCTGAGCTGGCCCAGTTGCTCATCTCAACACCCAGATTCGCTTGAATCAATGCTGCCAGATTTCCCGGACAAAGGCTTTTTGAGGTTAGCAAGAGGCCCTTACCTGTGAGGCAATTTATTTTCTAATGGCTTTGTTCAAAATTTGGGAAGAGATAAATGGGGGCTCATCCAGGCACAGATAATGGCCACACACGACAAGCAGAGGCCTGTTCTCCAAGTCTCTATTGATTTTTGTGAATGGACACAACATCTTATGGACAGCACAGCCAGCCAAAATCAATAGGGTTCGTGCCACCTCTCCCAAGAGTGTGTGCCTGTCTCCTTGAGCCATCCAGCCATCCAGAGCACTGTGTGCAGCTCCTCGGTGTCTGAGTACTGAGCAAATGCTGCTGGCTCCAGGACATGCATGGGCAGGGCTACAGCGGAGTCCAAAGAGCATGCCACCCAAACACTGGGACAGAAACAACGGCACAGACAGACCAAACTTCTGAAAAGAAGCAACAGGCAAATTATTTCAAGCCCATCTTGGATATATGTCAATTTGGTTAGCTAAGTCCATGTCATTTTTTTTTTCAAAAATAACTTATTGTTTAAGGATATGTGAATGTAGGGAGGGGTGAGATTTATTACAATGGATGTGTTTTTTAATTTCCAAATGCAAAAGAGTGCCAAACACAGGGCATGAGGCCATTGGTTTTAAGTCTGGGGTTCAGATAACTCAAGGATAGCAAAACCAACACTCTGCTTTCATGATATTTAGGGTTCCCAGACTGCTTCCTGATCTCACATTGCAGGACCTCCTAACAAGCATCCTGGGAAGGGGCAAGTGTTATTAAACCCACTTTCTACATAAGGAAAATGAACCCATGTGAGATGAGAAAACTTGCCCAAGGTCACACAAATAGAATATGATTGAGCCTAGGGGTGGAGTGCGACTCATCTACACAAAGCTCCAGTGTGAGCGTGAAACTGAAACACTGATTTAGAACAACCAGCAGTAGGATTAAGTTATCTACTGAATTCTTATGACCAATGAGAGTGGAGACGTGGTATGGACACAGGACACCAGTGTCAAAAACTCTAAGGTGTCCAACCAGAGTGTTTTCTTAAAAGAAGTCCTGAAATTTACAAAGTGGCATAAAAAGGAAACTAGGACATGTTTCCCCATTTTTTTCCTGCCCAATCCAGTAAGCAAAGGACTGGTTGGATCTGAACAGGATTTCTCTCTTTGGGTGGAGTCTCTGACAAGGAAACGTAGCTATCCCAACTTTGCATGACATCAAATTTGTATCCACTTACTGAAGTGCTGGGTGGGGCAGGAAGTGGGGAGCAGGGGGACAGCTCAGCCAAGGGAAGTGGGGCAGCCTAAGCCTTCCATCTCGTCTGCTGCTTAGTTGCAGAGCAAAAAGGAAAGAAAAAGAGAGAAAGAGAGAGAGAGGCAGGAAAAACAGGAACAGAGAAAGCCACAGAGCGGAAGAAAGAGAAACCAGAGGCCAATGTCCCCTTTCTGCCTTTCAACCAAGATGAAAGTTAACATACATTGGCAACATAAGAGTTGGCCTCAGAGTTGTTCTATATCAAAAAGAATGTGATTAAGAATTACCCATAATTTTTTAAAAAATGCCCTAGACAACCCAGGAGACATGGGTGTTAATATCCAAAATGACAGCAACACTGAAGTTTGATGGTGGTAGGGCTCCTGGAGCCTGTGAGTGGGTACATAACATGTTGCATCCGTTTAGACATAATGTCAAGTGTTTCACCTCTAATCTAGACCATTTGGGGTGGACTGCTGATTTGGGTAAAGGTAGCTGACTTTCTCGGAATCATAATAATTAGAACCCACATCTGCATTTTGCTCTGCCATTCACTGTACATTTTTTAATTGTATTAGTTTGTACCTGGCCAGCCAAAATTATAGGGTTACTATGAATTTGGGCTATTCTAACACAAAGTTTTTAAGTGTGAGAAAATATACTGTAGCTGATGTACAAAAACTAATCCACCTGTACTATACAAGATCAGCAGCAAGTTGGCTGAGGGAATCTTTTTTTTTTTTGCAGAACTGGGGATTGAACTCAGGCCCTTGCACTTGCCAGGGAAGTGCTTATTCCACTGAGCCATCTCCCTGGCCCTGAGGGAATCTTTTTGAATGGCCATGCTGGTGGTACTGGCCACTGGATATGATGGTATGATGTCTATGAAGAGAAAGAGCTGTGCTTCACCTTTAAGATGAATTTCAGCATCACCTGCACAGAGCCTTGAGTTCCACAAGTTAATGATGGTGGAGCTGAAGAGAGGTTTTTACTTTATTAACAAAGTTGCCTTTGACCTTGGCCAGGGGTCAGAGGGCACCACGTAGGCCTGTGGTGTAGGGTGGGATATCTAAGTGGGAGGCCTGATAATCTAGGCTTGGATTTACCAGGCCCCTGGTCAAAGAAAGGTGTTTAAGATGGCATTTCAGAAGGCTTTATTTAAAAAAATAAAGCAAAAAAGCTCTCAATTTCCTCGGAAGGAAGAGCCTAGGCCTAGCCAAGGGTTTGATCCCACGTTTCCCCTTCTGCCTTCCGTTGGAACAGTCAGTCTCCTGCATGAATCCTAGGAACTAGGAGGAAGTGAGAGATGACTCAATTTATTTCCCATCTGTTTCACTATTTGCAGACTCATGTAAAATATGGCTTGTGTTGTTTGAAGGGGGCATTAACAACATTCCCTTGCTAGGACAGAGCATTAATATGCGTGTTTCCGAGAAGTTCTTCGAAAGGGACCTTGCACATCTGCTGCCCTCTGGATGCAAAGCTGCTGGCCTGGTGTGACTCATCCTCGTGCCCCCACAGCCTGGGCCCAGGGCAACAGGTGTGTAGGCTATGCTTAGGCCCTGTGGCCCTAGGCCCCATGCTTTCCAGGCCTCAGCCAGCCTGCTGCCTCCCTGAGGAGGCTGGAGAGTTCAGGGTTCACCACAGGTCTTGCTAAGTATAGCAATTTTCCAGGATTCTGGGCCATCCAGAAGAATTTGTGGGAAAGGAAAAAATGATATCCAGTCCCTGGGCCCAGCGAGTCAGGCAGGTGGCTCTCAGTGTCACATGCAGGTGGCACAGTGACCAGGCTGACTCACTATGGGAAGCCCACACCACCAGGGCTGCTGACAGAGTGGAGCTGTGAAGGTGAGGCAGACTGGCTTAGCTACTGCGTGGGAAGGTGTGCACTGGCTCTGGTCTGCTCAGAAAGAAGCGCAAAAGATAACACTGAACAAGCTGAAGAGAAAGCAGAAGTTGCTCATGGATTACTCTTTCCTTAGCCCATCAAGTGCTCCCACTACGTGGACAGCACAGCTCCTGGGTACGTGGCTGCGGTGTGCGCATGCACAAAACCAGCTGCGGCAATGCTAGCCAAGCCCAAAGCCTGGAAACAAGGGCCTGGGGAGAGCCTGCCCCCATCGCACACTGATGTGAGAGGAGTCAACACCCACCCAACAGTCTCTGGTCTCTCCTGGCCACCCCAGCCTCCCTGAAGGGATTATTGTCCCACCCCATGGACAGTGCCAAGGGAAAAGTCACCCTCCCCAGAGCCCTCCCTTTCTCCCACAGCACCCCTACCCCATTTGGAGGATAGTGGCCTTTCCATCCTGGACAGGACAACAACAGCATCCAGGGACTGCGCCTTCCCTCCCGACTCAGGCTGGCTGCAGCTCCAGTGGGCCACATCCAGCCCCACCCTGCACTGACCCAGCCAGCCAGGAGGAAAGCCAAACAAGATTCTGCAGCTCTCACCTGGTGGTGCCACATTCTGCTCTTTCCCCTGGGGAGAAAAAACAGAAAGTACATGTTGATATTCAATGAGAGAGAGAGAGAGAGAGAGAGAGAGAGAGAGAGAGAGAGAGAGAGAGAGAGAGAGAGAGAGAGAGAACATTAATCTTAAAAATAAAACAAGATTTCCAGTGCCCACTTAATTCCTCATTCTAACTTCCTGCCCATGGCCAGCGCTAACCCACCATTTTGGTGGCTATTTAGACCAGAGATGGTGAACTTTCAGAGCTTTCGATGCTAACAACCTGCTGTGGCATGTGTGCCTCAGGGTCGCCACCACTGGCTTAGATGCTTTGTGTGAACAGCGTTGCCCAGCATGGGGTCTTCTGTGTCTGGCTCCTTCACTCACGGAGCATGACTTGAACACACTGGGCTGGGTGGATTAGACCACATTGTCATTGTCCTTCTCCACCAGCTGCCTCTTAGTGTCTAACCCCTGAGACATGTCCCCAATCTACTACCTAAGCCAACTGCTCGATACAGGCATCCTCATACACCCAGTTGTATGAGGGAATTATCTTGAAAATTGTCCTTTCTTCTTAACACATTTTCCTACTTCACTGCATTTCAGCATAACCTTCATAGTTCAGGCCATGGTTACCAGCAGCCTGGACCATTTTCCTTCTATTTGGGTTTCCTATTCCACTACAATCCATCCTGCACTCACCAGCCAAGAAACATCTTAAACTGAGACTCCCATCATGCAATTCCCTTGCTTGGGACCCTCCAGTGACCTTCTGTCATTCACAGAATAAAACCCAAGATGCCCTCTTTCTAAGCACGTTGAAATGGGAGTGGGCCCTCTGAACCGCTCCCCCATCTACTCGGACCACTTCTCCTTAGAGCATGAGGGCACCAGACACAGCCACCTCCACGCAGCCCTCCAGTTGGCCTGCCATGCTCTCTCCCTGCACCCACACATGGTTGGCTCCTGCTTATTTTTGGGTCTCCACTGAAAAGCTGTGTCCAAAGAACAGCCTTTTCTGTATATCTCCTCCATATATCCTCTTTCTCTAAATTCTCTCTATGCACTACTTATCATTAATATTTTCTTTTAGTTTTTTTGCCTACTGCCAGTTTATCATCACTAAAAAACAATGCATTTTATGAGAGAAGAAAGGTCATTTGCTCTTAAAGCTGCTATAATACCAGTCTTAGAAGGTGTTCAGCACAAAGTAGTTGCTCAGTACATCTGCTGAGTGAAAGAATGAAGCCTTTAAGAGGTTCTGGGCCAAATAATTAAAATAGACCATAAGTAAATTATACATTAGTGTGGCATGTACCATGGGATACTGGTGCATGGGTGTCATCCTTGTAGTAACAGAGGAGCAGAGAACTGAACATGGGGTGACTTGCCAGAGATCCTACTAAATCACGCAGTTTGGTTTCCAGGCCATATAATCTGACTTCCTGTCAGAGCTTTGCTCAAAGAACCTGGCTCCCCACATACAAACACAAGGTAAGGGAAGAATAGAGAGCCTGGGGCCTTGTGCTCAGAGACTCCCTGCAGGCGGTGTGTGGCTTTTGACAGCATTCCTTCCTCCTCAGCTTCAGAGACACCACACATTGGAAGACATCTCCCTGGGCAGGGTGGGATGCTTAGAACAAAGACATTAATTGATATATTTTCCTTTTCTTACTCAAACTATACTGGAAACACAGAGGTCTAAGTCCAAGTGTTAATTTACTTTTTTGTTTTTCCTTCTTTGGGTCTCAATATCCTTACCTGTATTATCTGACTGGTGCATTGTAGGTGCTTGCATCCTGGGTCTCACTTACCAAACACCAGCAATATTTGTTTCTTAATTATTATGATTTCTTTCTTTTTTTTTTTTTGGCAGAAGTGGGGATTGAACTCAGGCCCTTGTGCTTGCCAGGGAAGTGCTTATTCCTCTGAGCCATCTCCCCGGCCCCTCATTATGATTTCTAAAACTGTTTCCTATCACTTCCCAAGACCCCTAGAAGGATGAGATCTACCCCTCGATGAGAACTTCTAATAGAAATGCAAATTGTATTTGTAGTAGCCACAACACAAAGAGCAAAGAGAAACAGGTGACATTAATTTTAAGAATATATTATATTGAATCCTATATACCATCAATATTGTCATTTCCATATGTTTGAATACAAAGTAAATAAGATATTTTAGGCTATGCTTTGTGTGTCCTATCTCTTCTGGAGTTCACCTTACACATTTAGAACTCAGTTCACTTGTCAGGTGTTCAACAGCCACCTGTGATTAGTGGCCTCTATAAGGGACAGAGCAGCTCCAGATCCTACAGTCCTGTCCTGCACAAACAGAGGAGAATTTGGAAAGAAAACCAGGCCTATTTTTTTCCTTCATATTCTGTAGGGACTTAAAGTTTAACGTATCAATACTTGATGGAAAATACCTGTTCCATGTTATATCTAAGATGTTTGATATTCAGACAGTTAGGTTAAACCCAACTGCATATGTTGTAGGGTAATAATAAGCTTCTCTTCTGGAGGGTTAAGAACCTAAGTTTGCAGACCAAAAATTAGAGAAAAAGAAGGGCTGCAAAGACAGCCAACATTTTGACCCTAGCTTTTCAAGGTTAGTGAAGACTCAGGACATAGGAGAACCTATACTGTAACATCATATAACTCAGTTGTGTCCCAAATTTTCTGATCAAGGAGATTATGGGGCCACAGAGGAATGTGATTGATGATGTAGAGTATGCCTAAGGAGAGTTACATGGAGAGAAAACATTCTCTCAGACTTTCACAGAGAGCAAATTAGCCAAGCAATGGCCATGACTCATCCACATGGCTGACACTGACAAAGGATCTACAAACTGCAGTACACGATTTCAGGATAAATTCTGAGGGGACTTGACTGAGCTTATCAGATACAAAAGCTACATTTCTTGTTATATAGGCCTTGCTTTATCTTGGTCTTAACCATCCAGCAGAAAGGTATAAAGGGTGAAGCCATGTTGGTATGCTGGGCTGTAAAGGGCTCAGGTCAACAACTTCTGACATTGCCAGGCCTGCAGATGACCCACTACTATTATGAAGTGTATTGGAATATTTTGCTGAATTCACGCACCTACAATATTTAAATGACAATGAAATACCCTTCTGTGACAAAACTAAACAAAAAAAGGGGGATACAAATGAATGACCATTTTGTATATTCAAAATAGTTAGGATAGATATACAGCTACATTCTCATAATACAATAGTGTTTGTGGATGGGATGTCATGTCTACATCTTGTACAATGAATAACCACTGAGACAACAATGTGTAATGTATTTATTATTGAAACTGTCCTACTGATTAGTTTTAAAACTGTCTCATTGGGGCTGGTGAGATGGTTCAGTGGTCTAAAGCACCTACTTAGAACAAGCTTAGCAAAGCACAGGGACCACTTTTCAATCCCCCAGCACCACATGCCAGCGAGCCCCAACCCCTGGTGGGCACACACACACACACACACACACACACACACACAAATAAAATTAAAAAGAAAAACTGTCTCATTGCTATTTGTTTCTCAAAATTATATAATATATATATATATATATATATATCCTAGATAGATAGATAGATAGATAGATAGATAGATGATAGATAGATAGATATAACCAGGCCACATTAGGGTAGGAGCGAGAACTGAGAGGAGAGTACTGTACCATGGGTTTGATTGGAACTAAGCTACACATCATTCTCTAATTTCTGACTGAAGTCACCAGTAGTCACAAGAGCAACTACAATGGGTTGAGTTGAAGTCAAAGGCCAAAGCAAAAAAGGAGAAAAGTTAGGTAAAACAGGCAAACTTCTTGTGTTTAACTTGCTTGTATGTCTGGGGTCTATGGAAAATTCCTACCAGACACCAGTTTGTGTTAAATTTTCATGCAGACCCAACCCTTTTAGAGCTGAGAGCATCCCCAGAAGGGGTCCTCCACCAATAGCCAGGGTGCTCCAGACAAGGAGGGTGGGGAATGAACCCATTCTCTCCCTCACGTCCTCAGCCTGTGTGGCTCCACTGACAGCGCCTTGGCTGCTCCACCTGTTGGCTCTGAGTGCACACCCCATGCTCTCTGCACTCACTGTGGCCCAGGCCCACACTGTTAGTCCTTCTAACTCCGCCTGCTTTCCTGCCAGGGTAAATGCTACATCCACAGCCTGGACCCTGCTTCCCCAGTTTTTTTCTCCTAGCTGACACCTTCTCAGCCTTCGATCTGAGCTGAGCTGTCTTCTCTCTGATTGCTTAGTCGAAATTGGAACTCCCCACCCCTTTCATACAACTTCCCTGTAGTCTGGGCCACACTTATCATCCACGGCACTTAGCACTCAGCACCGTGCACACACTACATAAGGATGCTTTGGTGGACAGTGGACATACATGCAACAGCACTCTCAGAAGATTTTAATGCAGCCCAAACAGTCCCATCCCAAGTGACATCACAGCCATCATAATGGCATGGTACAATTCTTTTCTCACGTTTGTCGTGATGCTGGTGTAAATACACCTCTGGACTGTTGATCACACAAAAGTACAGCACGTGCAGCACAAACACCTGACAATAAGTGAGTCTACTTTCCTTTTTGCCATTGTTTGGGATATTGCCTTTCTACTTGGGAGAACAGAAGTTTATTGCAAAGCAGTGTGCTGTGTTATCCTGGCAGTGGCCCCACACACCCCGTGCCTCTTGCATGTCTCTATGGCATCATTTTTTCTTGCACATGATTTAATCTCATGCTTCTTTGTTCATCATGGCTATACTGTGTGTGTAGGTCTGTGCATGTGCACATGTGTGCTCACATTGCTATGTTAGGGGTGCAGTGGGTTGGACCATCCAAGTCTGCAGAAGCGCACTTTGTGATGTCTACAGGATAATGAAGTCACATCCCCGAGAGCATGTCCCTGGCCTTAGGAGATGTCTGGTCCCATCTGTTGGTAGAACTCTCCTTCTCCATGAGAGGAGGGACCTCATCTATCTCTGTCCTCTGCATCCCCAGGTCG